TCACAATTTCTAAAGAAATATATTTCAAAAATTTGTTTACTTTGGTCGAATTTTTTTGTAGCAATTTTCAACATAATATTTCTTAATGTTTTTTCTATATTGTGTGCATTTTAAATCTTCTTGGTTCATAGACCATTTAGAGCTTACAATTTCCAAAGAAATATATTTCAAAAATTCGTTTACTTTGGTCGAATTTGTTTGTAGTAATTCTTAACATAATATTTCATAATGTTTTCTGTATATTTTGTGCCTTTTCAATCTTCTTGGTTCGTAAACTATTTAAACCTTACAATTTCCAAAGAAATATATTTCTAAAATTTGTTTACTTTGGTTGAATTTGTTTGTAGTAATTTTCTTAATGTTTTCTGTATATTTTGTGCCTTTTAAATCTTCTTGGTTCGTAAACTATTTAAAGCTCACAATTTCCAAAGTAATATATTTTAAAAATTCGTTTACTTTGATCAAATTTTTTTGTAGTAATTTTTAACATAATATTTCTTAATGTTTTTTGTATATTTTGTGAATTTTCAATCTTCTTGGTTCGTAAACTATTTAAAGCTCACAATTTCCAAAGAAATATATTTCAAAAATTTGTTTACTTTGGTCGAATTTTTTTGTAGCAATTTTCAACATAATATTTCTTAATGTTTGTTCTATATTGTGTGCATTTTAAATCTTCTTGGTTCATAGACCATTTAGAGCTTACAATTTCCAAAGAAATATATTTCAAAAATTCGTTTACTTTGGTCGAATTTGTTTGTAGTAATTCTTAACATAATATTTCATAATGTTTTCTGTATATTTTGTGCCTTTTCAATCTTCTTGGTTCGTAAACTATTTAAACCTTACAATTTCCAAAGAAATATATTTCTAAAATTTGTTTACTTTGGTTGAATTTGTTTGTAGTAATTTTCTTAATGTTTTCTGTATATTTTGTGCCTTTTAAATCTTCTTGGTTCGTAAACTATTTAAAGCTCACAATTTCCAAAGTAATATATTTTAAAAATTCGTTTACTTTGATCAAATTTTTTTGTAGTAATTTTTAACATAATATTTCTTAATGTTTTTTGTATATTTTGTGAATTTTCAATCTTCTTGGTTCGTAAACTATTTAAAGCTCACAATTTCCAAAGAAATATATTTCAAAAATTTGTTTACTTTGGTCGAATTTTTTTGTAGCAATTTTCAACATAATATTTCTTAATGTTTTTTCTATATTGTGTGCATTTTAAATCTTCTTGGTTCATAGACCATTTAGAGCTTACAATTTCCAAAGAAATATATTTCAAAAATTCGTTTACTTTGGTCGAATTTGTTTGTAGTAATTCTTAACATAATATTTCATAATGTTTTCTGTATATTTTGTGCCTTTTCAATCTTCTTGGTTCGTAAACTATTTAAACCTTACAATTTCCAAAGAAATATATTTCTAAAATTTGTTTACTTTGGTTGAATTTGTTTGTAGTAATTTTCTTAATGTTTTCTGTATATTTTGTGCCTTTTAAATCTTCTTGGTTCGTAAACTATTTAAAGCTCACAATTTCCAAAGTAATATATTTTAATAATTCGTTTACTTTGATCAAATTTTTTTGTAGTAATTTTTAACATAATATTTCTTAATGTTTTTTGTATATTTTGTGAATTTTCAATCTTCTTGGTTCGTAAACTATTTAAAGCTCACAATTTCCAAAGAAATATATTTCAAAAATTTGTTTACTTTGGTCGAATTTTTTTGTAGCAATTTTCAACATAATATTTCTTAATGTTTTTTCTATATTGTGTGCATTTTAAATCTTCTTGGTTCATAGACCATTTAGAGCTTACAATTTCCAAAGAAATATATTTCAAAAATTCGTTTACTTTGGTCGAATTTGTTTGTAGTAATTCTTAACATAATATTTCATAATGTTTTCTGTATATTTTGTGCCTTTTCAATCTTCTTGGTTCGTAAACTATTTAAACCTTACAATTTCCAAAGAAATATATTTCTAAAATTTGTTTACTTTGGTTGAATTTGTTTGTAGTAATTTTCTTAATGTTTTCTGTATATTTTGTGCCTTTTAAATCTTCTTGGTTCGTAAACTATTTAAAGCTCACAATTTCCAAAGTAATATATTTTAAAAATTCGTTTACTTTGATCAAATTTTTTTGTAGTAATTTTTAACATAATATTTCTTAATGTTTTTTGTATATTTTGTGAATTTTCAATCTTCTTGGTTCGTAAACTATTTAAAGCTCACAATTTCTAAAGAAATATATTTCAAAAATTTGTTTACTTTGGTCGAATTTTTTTGTAGCAATTTTCAACATAATATTTCTTAATGTTTTTTCTATATTGTGTGCATTTTAAATCTTCTTGGTTCATAGACCATTTAGAGCTTACAATTTCCAAAGAAATATATTTCAAAAATTCGTTTACTTTGGTCGAATTTGTTTGTAGTAATTCTTAACATAATATTTCATAATGTTTTCTGTATATTTTGTGCCTTTTCAATCTTCTTGGTTCGTAAACTATTTAAACCTTACAATTTCCAAAGAAATATATTTCTAAAATTTGTTTACTTTGGTTGAATTTGTTTGTAGTAATTTTCTTAATGTTTTCTGTATATTTTGTGCCTTTTAAATCTTCTTGGTTCGTAAACTATTTAAAGCTCACAATTTCCAAAGTAATATATTTTAAAAATTCGTTTACTTTGATCAAATTTTTTTGTAGTAATTTTTAACATAATATTTCTTAATGTTTTTTGTATATTTTGTGAATTTTCAATCTTCTTGGTTCGTAAACTATTTAAAGCTCACAATTTCCAAAGAAATATATTTTAAAAATTCGTTTACTTTGATCAAATTTTTTTGTAGTAATTTTTAACATAATATTTCTTAATGTTTTTTCTATATTTTGTGCATTTTAAATCTTCTTGGTTCATAGACCATTTAGAGCTTACAATTTCCAAAGAAATATATTTCGAAAAGTTCACTTTGGTCGAATTTGTTTTCCAGTAATTTTTAACATTTCTTAATCTATTTTAAAAAATAGCTATTTCTTGCCCATTCCTGTCCCCAGATACGTTAATTAAAATCAATATTTCGTAAGCTATGGAACTAAAAGGGTTTTAATCAAGATTCGAAATTGAAATCCAGTTTTCTCTAAATAAAATTTGCACCGGGGTGGCAAAATCTTGCCCCCTTTTTATCGACGAACTATGTCTCTAGCCCGAGGAAACTTTCGCGCGTTAACTGACATTCCTTCGCCCTTTTCATCCCCTGTTAGTACTCCAATCTAGATTTTCCCGTCGTCATCGATGGAAAACTCAAACTCATTAATTATTGGCAATAAAAAGGAAGATGCGTCAGCACGAAATCCTTTGTATCATGAGATCTTCGTCCTTATCATGGTGCTGGTATTAGACGAACGGATCGAGAATATCATTTTCGAAAGACTGAAAGCATGAAAAGATGGGGATTTATGAATGTTCGGTTGGACGAACGTAATGAATCCGCTTCCCAATAATTGTTTGTGGCCTAATTGTTATCATCACTCATCCGAGCCCAACTTTCTTGCATTTTCGATATCGTTTACGAAAAATAAGTTGAAACGATTTGATCCATTACTATGTCGATGACACCACGTTTGGTGTTCCATTACATTTTAGGTTTTATTAAAAATTCTTCGATATATTACTTTGGAAATAAAATAAAAAAAATGTTCTATTTCTGTCAGTTAATTAATATTCTTCTCCTGTCTACTTTTAGTTCTGGTTTTTTGGAGTCTCCGATGTATGCACTACTTCGTTTTATATAATTCAATCGCGTTATGGAAAATATTCTTCGAGCCTTTTAAGCATAATAAGTTCTGTCGGGATAAATGTTCCGGGGCATTATGTGTCTAATGATTGCTCGACTACGAAAAGGGCCAAGTCCTTTCATTTCGAGGAAGCGACACGGAAGGTTGTGACGAAGATAAAAATAACGCGGAAAACCGCCCCTCTTTAATCATTTTAATGCATTTACAACGAACTTGATGGATTTCTTATACTATTAAATCCTTTATATCTTCGTCGCAACTAATGTCCGTGCACTTTGCCCTTCGGTTTTTTATTTACCGAAAGTCATTATCTTCTTTCTCTTCCTTTCTTCGAATATCGTATGAATTACGATCGCGAAGAAAGCAATTAGTTGCCATCTGCTCTTGTTTTCGATGTTCTTGTTACGAATTTTTAAACAGAGTGCGAACAAAATGGATAAGTTCTTACGTTTTCGTCGCCATTACACCGCGGGAATGGGAATAATTTGCAAATTCGTGGTATTTGGAAAATTCTGCGCGTTTTAAATCAACGCGTTTCTCTTTCGTTGGGAAAATTTCAACAAAATTCAGCAAAAATTATTGGTTCGAAAAATTGCTCGCAATTGTATCGTACGTTCTCTGGTATAGCCAGTGACAACGTAAATTAGGAATATTAGAACACGTAAAGCTGGCTCTCGAGTCGTCCTTAAATAAAATATTCTTTCGACCGACGTAGTTCGGTATGCTGTTCGAATAAAATTCCAGGTTATGGACTTGTTTAATTCCTCGTCTAAATTTCCTTCGGTCGAGTGTCCGGGAATTAAGCGAGGTATATTTTTTATGGGGAACGTATGCTATGCACTTCAGCCAGACGAGCAATAAAAAGATACATCGATGTTCATAATACCTTTTATAGATAACATTCCGGTATTCGCCTTTACGCGAAAGAATTTAGAGCGTGAAGATATATTCCTGGCGTTATACAGGTGAGGCACTTAAAACCGGTCACCTGAGTAACTCGTTCACTTTTGGCGGTAGAAAATAGTTCCATGCTTGGAAGAAATACAATCTGATGGCAGTTTTCTTTTTTTTTTTATCGAGCAGCGTGCAACGAAAACACGATCTTTAAACTCCGATCTCAAAAAGAACCATTACTTAAATATAATTTCAAATGAGAATGATCGTCGTTGTTAATTTTCTGCTTTATTTTTTGTTTCAGGGATTGCAGAGTCGTCAGAGATCCACAAACGCTCAAATCGAAGGGATATGGCTTTGTCTCTTTTGTTAAAAAGGCGGTAAGTTGTAATAAAATTTGTTTCTTGTGCATTACTATAGCATGGTAGAATTTTATCAATTTATATGGAATTGTAGCTAAGATAATATATTATACGTGAAAAATGAGCCTTAGCTACTATGAAAGTAGATTTTTTTTTATAGTAATGTTGGAACTCCACAGCTTAGAACCAACAAATTAGAAGCTATAGTTGTCGCTAGATCGATCAGACTTCACCTAATTTCCCAATTACTCTGCAAATTACGTAATTTGTTAATCATGCGATCGCCGCATAATTTCATTCGCTGTCTCATTAGAAATGCAATTATTGTTTTAATCATTATTTGGAAAGTAAACATTATTGCATTTAATCTAAATAAATATTTGTTCAAAGTAGCATGCTGATGTTAATTAGTGCATCGATTACCGCGAGGGTCACCGGTGACCGCTCGTATTATATTTCCAGAGATTGTGCGTGACTCGAATGAATTAAACAAAAAATGGTGTGCTAAAGGACAACCAGGGCCTTAACAACAAAATCTCCCAATTAATTCGAACGACCCACGTTTTACTATAATAAAAAAAAAGACGTGTGCGAATTATCGAGATAAACCGGGATCCAAGCTTTCGAGAAAAACTATTTCCGGTCGTTTTATTTTAAACAAACTGATTCGTCCCCGAAGAGGCTGCCGTTTAAATATCGTAAAAAGGAAACGATCGACTAAATTGTTTGCAGTTAACCGAGCCCCATTCGAGCAGAGAAGTTTCCAGGGCGAAAAGTTTCCATCGAATAATATATCTCAGTTCGAAATTTACACGCAATAATCTAAAATGGCGAGGCTATATCGAAACGAACGACTACAAATAAACCATCGACGTTGAGGAGACGCTGGAGTGCTACGATTGGCCGGTCACGGTTAAGAACAGCTTAAAAATCGCAATCGAAATTAAAAGTTTCCCCCATCTACGTGTTTAGAAACTCTTTTGAAACTAGGCTAGTTCCGGGGGAAATATTCAAATTTATCGCCTGCGAAATTTCCGTGGCAGCTCGATTTCGAATTCTCGCGGAACTTTCCTTGATTAAATAAAAAAGAGGGGTGAGGGGGGGAGAGAGCGAAGCACCAGTGGATCGAAAAATTCTGTGCCATTTTAACTTTTCAACTATAGGAAATGTTTATATGAAATTTGAGCACTGTAATGTAGTAATGTCGTAAAAATGATGTATCCGTCGTTATTTATATTATTATTATTTATTAAACAAGATCCTTGAAACATTTTAAATGATTAAATCTGTTTTTGTTCGTAAAACATGTTTGAAACGTTCAAATTCGATCAGCTGTATCGATCAAAGTCTTTATCAACACTAGATTTACGAATATTAATTGCACATATTTCCATCGAAAGAATGTGGTTTTCCTAAGTTCATAATTAACATAAATTGCTAACAAATAATATTTACGAACTCTATAACCTAAAAAATGGAATCGATAATACTCGTCAAATTGACGGGTTCCATAAGTCTGGCGTTAATTTTTTTGTATCCCGGATGACTAAACGAATACTGATACGAGACAATTGGCTGTTTTATCAAACGGCACCAATCGGAACCGCCATGGCAGCTCCGCGACATGAATTTTCGGGAAAGAAATGGAAAGTAGGCAAACTTTTACCGTGACCCGTCAAAATCCGTGACGTAAATCACGGGGAAGTTAGATGTACGACCGAGTAAAAAAAGGTTTTTCCGTTTATGGCGAGGTTATTCGTTGGAGGGGGGGTAGGAGGGCTGACTGCTGCCCCGAAGGTAGACCCTCTCGTCCCCCCTCTGTTTTAATGTTCTATCGATCTGGACCACCACCAGCACCTGCCCCCACACCCACAGTATTACTATTGCCGAAGTATAAATTTTCCGGGTGTCTCCGTTAACCTCGAAGAACACGCGAAAATTTCTCTAGCTCGCGTCGCCCGCTGCCAACCGACCCCTCGTGCTCCCTCGCATCCTACCGCCACTATATCCTTCGGATACACGAACCTAAATCGCGGATTCTGATCACCGAGCGTCCAACATCCAGCCTCTCTAAGATCTACGAGGAAATGCGAATTCCCGGGATTCTCGTTTTCCGACGACCTCGACCCTCTTATAGCGCTGCTCGACTACTTGAAACTCAAACCAAGACAAAACTCATTTTTCCAAACCGAGTCGAGCGTTTGGCTATCCAAGTAGCTTCAATATTTTTATCAACCGGATGAGTCAAAAACTTGTATATTAATTACAAGAATTGTTCATAATACACAGGATGTTCGGCCACCCCTGGGAAAAATTCTAATGTGAGAAATAAAACGAAAATCAAGAACATCAATTTTTTGATTGAGGCTTCGTTAAAAAATTATTAAAAAATTAAATAAAAAATTTCAAACCATTCTGAAAAAATTATTTTTAGCTATGGAGATAAATTACAATCATTTTTTATGAGTACACATACCCCCGAATTCCTAACCATTTTCGAGAAAAAAATTCATTACCGAAAATTTCATGTCTGACCATATCATTGACATCTTTCACTGAAATTTCATGCGTATGTTTAAAACATCATAACTTCTGAACGAATTGGGCAACTTTAATGTTTCAAAAAGCAAACAACGCGTATTTTAGTGGAGAATATGTAGAAATTACAAAAATATTCGAAAAGTTGTTCCTTAACCCCGTAAACTGAGAAAAACTGTATAAAAATAGTCCAATTTTCAAACAGCTATAACTTCTACAATAGTGAACGTAATCCATTGAAATTTAGTATGGAAGTAGAGGTCTTAGGTACCTACAAAAAAGTATTAACCAACTTTTCTGTACAGCACCAACCAAATTTATTACAAATGAAAAACGAATTTTTAAGAAAAATTGACATGCTTAAATTTTTCGACGAAAAAAAATTTTTTCAAATCGTTCTGGAAAAATTATTTTCGGTTGCGGGGGTTAATTGCAATCGTTTTTGGTGAATAGACATACCCCCGAATTCCTCCTCATTTTCGAGAAAAAAATTCAGTACGGGCGGAACTTTAAACGTTAATAACTTTTTAACGAAGCCGCCATCAAGAAATTCGTATTCTTGATTTTCGTCTTATTTTGACCTTTAGAATCTCCCTTAAATGGCCAAACACTCTGTATATTATTTTCTTTGTTTTGTGCAACAAGAATTGCGTTCCAAAATCATCTGATTCTGAAATCAGAACTTTTTTAACTTTTACTAGCTTGCTTGAAACTATTCATATATCCAAGCATCTCAAGCTATTTAAACGAATAGTTTTTGTTTTAATTTTTAGAATTATCGACATCTAATCCAAGCGAACTTTATTATTTCCGATCGAAGAACCAAGAATACAAAAACAAGATTGTTCAAACAATCCCAGTTAAGCTCGACACGGCTCGTATTTCCAAGTACTTGTACGCCTCTAGTTGTTGTAAATCTGAAAGTATTTAATTTCGTATTAGGATTCGTTGCACGGTATTCTATTATAGTTGCTTTAAACTTTTACAGCTTTACTGCGGGTCGATAAATTGAACGTTATTAGATTTTGTTCCGCAAGACCACGTCGCTGCGTTAATAATGATTCTAACGGCGATTAACGGCGCGAAATTAGTGCCGTTTTCGTTTTTGTTTCGTCGATTACACAGACACATTTTGTCGTTTCGTACGAAGCCAGTGTTAATTTGCGCTGCTCGAATAAAAAGAGAACGAGCCAAAGAAAATTATATCGACGTCGCAACGGAATAATAGAATCCGAGAAAGAAAAGTGTAATTGGAACTATTTTCGTTGTTTTTGGGCGTACAATCAGGTATGAGACACCATCTGTACATCTCGAAGAGAATTAACTGACGGTGAAAGCATACTCCAGCATTTAGGGTAACTGTACCTAACGCCGGAACTTAATATTCCAATGGATTTCTAAAAATTAACCGTAGTTTTCTACTTGAGAATCTATCGCTTTAATTTCTTTGATACGTAGATAAATACTTCAAAATTATGACGAAAAGAATAAAGAATGGAAAATATTTTCTTAAATGGAATCGTATATCGTTTAATGCATCGTTTGGTGCAGCACGTTGTTTCCTATGCAAAAATGCAAAGCCACTTATGGCGAACAAGCACTAATTTAAAAGATACTTTAATTATAATATCGTAAATTGTGGAATTACAAGTATGCAATTAATAGAATATTTCTTAACGATACGAAAAACATTTAAACGACATACCATTCGCACAAAGTATCGAATCGTTTGACAAATGCAAGCGGTGAGCCGATAGTAACGCGAACAAGCATTAATTTAGAAGATATTTTAATCGTCATATCGTGGATTGTGGAATTACAAGTACACTATTAATAAAATATTTTCGAAACCGCTAACGATACCAAAAACGTTTATATGACATATCTATAACATTCGTGCGAAGTATCGAGTCGATACTAACGCGAGCAAGCATTAGTTTAGGAGATACTTCAACTGTAATATCGTAAATCGTGGAATGACAAGTATACTATTAATAAAATATTTTCGAAATCATAAACAATGATACCATGTACGTTTAAATGACATGTAACAACAAAATACAAGCATTGAGTCGATAGTAACGCGAGCAAGCATTAGCTTAGAAGATACTGTAACTGTAATATCGTAAATTGTGGAATTAGAATTACGCTATCGATAAAATATTTGTTAACGATACGAAGGGCGTTTGAAGGGTAAAAAATGGCAAAGTATCGAATCGTTTGGTGGGAAATGGCGGGTCGATAGTAACGTATCGGCGAAAAGCATTTAGGAATCGCGTCGCCCGAGGCGGAACGTCTCGATCCTAAGGAAAGAGGCGCAAGTTTTATTAAAGCCACGTAATCCTATGTAGCGTCGATGGCGGGCCATGACATAGTAATGCGTGTAAAGCAGCTGGGTGTCGGTGCTCGGCGTCACGAGCGGTCTATAGCGTCTTTCGCCGTGCAAGAAATTCGATTTGATGGGTGCTTAGACAGCTCGAACTAGGCAGGCCTGGGCGACGAGGTCGGTGGGACGGCTCGTGTGTCGTATAAACGGTCTGGTCACGGAAAGTGGAAGGGGCGTAAAGGTAGATTCAGCCATTCCTCCTCGTCCAGTAGGAGGGTGCAGGGGATGGCGAGTTATCGACCGTAGTTTAGAATCGGTTTAGAGGCGAGCATTCGGTCTGCCGATGTACCTAACCGCGCGAATGTGCGGCATCATATCGGGAATGGAAATTCGAATCGGAAATACTTTATCCCGCCCTGGTACGGTCTGAAGAGGGGGGGGGGGCAGGGGAAGGATGACACGGGGGATAAGGACCGTGGAGAGTAGAGGGTTGAAGGTGACGCCGATGGCGCGATGCTAAGTTCACCCGGAGACGGAAGGCGATAGCGAGGAAGGCAGAGGATGGTAACATTTGGGGAAACGAGGCAAAAGGCGGACCCACGGAGTTCTCGAAATGGAGCAAATGGCGGTAAGAGGGGACCGGAATGCTACCAGGGAGGAAAGGGAAACACCCCCTCTTCGTACGTACTCCCAAAGAGCTTTTCAAACAGTCAACCTTTTCGGGGGATTCCTCGCGACAGGAATATTTTTAGGTTTCCTATCCGTCCTTCTTCGCATCAGCCGTCGGACTACCACCCGCACAATGTCACCAACATTTGCATTTACGTGGAAGAGCGGGCGTCGGTGTGCGCCACAACCGATGTCGTTCTCTGTTATTCCACATCCATTTCTCCTCTACAGCCACCTTACGATGGAATACCGTTCTGCTTTAGCTCCTCTTGGCTCCCGCGCTGTCTCCTTTAGCTCGTTCCCGCGATTTTCCCTTATTTTTCATATGGATCGTGTAATGGACTTATGGATAGACGGATGCGAGGGGCCGATTATTACCGTCCTCTCGAGCAAACTGCATCCTCGCTGCAGCCATCGCTATCGGCACGTGGCAGTTTCGCGATTACTGCTTCCCGTAAACGATCACTCCCACGCTCGGTGCTTCCAATCGCGGGAATAGAAAGAAACATCCGTCACGACTCGAACGACTCCAAAAAAAATAGTCAAATGATTGTTTCTAGGATTCTTTCCGGTGTTTTTCCTCGATCTGGGAAGCTATGTCTAGTCAGACCTAACCCAAAACCTCTGACCCAACCTTAACACAACATTATAGGCCGATATGCATTCAACATGTCATGTCAAAGATTTTTGAAAATATAATGTTCAACCACGACCAATCTCCTTGAATAACACCATCATCTGGCATACCGATTTTTGCACAACATTTGATACAGTTAATCATTCTGGGCATACATTCTAACTTACTTGCTCGGCTTTTAAGTTTCATCACGAACAGAAAACAAATTGTCAAGTTTAATAACTCTTACTCTAATGCTATATCTGCATATTCAGATGTTCTCCAAGGTTCACACATCGGACCCTTACTTTTTATTCATTTATTATTAATGACACATCTGAAGCCTTTCATTTCTGTAATGTTATTGTATGCGAATGATTTAAAAATGTATCATTCTGTTAATCATCCTTCCTGTATAAACTCGATTCAGAATGGCCTTGCAAGGTTAGAAGGGTGGTGCAAATCCAATAAATTATACCTCAATCTTAATAAATGCAAGGTTATCAGATTCAGTCCTAGTGCTAACTCGAAGATTTTCAATTACTCTCTTGGAGGCACCATCCTTTATAATCCTGACACGATTCGTGATCTGGGAATTCTTTTCCTACATCTCAAAGATAGAATCTCTCGTGCCTCTAGGTCTTATTCGTAGAACTAAAGTTACTTTACCGCACTACTGGTTAGACCAATTTTGGAATATGAAAGGAACGTTTTTTTCAGTATTGTCAACAATTGCGAAGATAGTCGAGTTGGTCGACTTAAATGGGTCACCCTTGTATGTATACGTATTTATTGCGCTCGTTCCATACGGAGCGCAGTAATAGACCACTTTTCTCAATCCACTCGCGCCATGTTTCCCAAATCAGAGCAGTTGTAAATAAAAGTTACGGTTACCCATCTTATATACTACAAGTTACGACTTCTGGCTGTTGGTCGTAGTATTTCAACTTTTTGTTTATTCCAGCCGCCGGAACTTCTCTTTAATTCAAAATAACACCCTGTTTCTGACTTCTTCTACATTTCTGACGAACTATTTAACAAGATTCAATTCTAAAAATTTTAATGACAAAACTCACAAATTGGTTATTCTTATTACGCGTTGTAACTTATATTCCAGAGTTTGAATATTCTCTGACGAAAGATCTGTACGTAACGAGTAACGATTTTTTCATTGATAAAGAATTATTCGTTTAATTCCTGATAAGTGGAATGTACATGAGATTTATTTCAACCAATTTACCGTAGTTCTGCAGCCCCAAACATTTCGCGACAGGTACAAATCTCCAGAGACGATAAAAAATCTCCGAAACAGGATTGAACCATTAATTTTAAAGGACGCCATTAATGAGAAGGCTTTATTTTAATAATGAATGCCCCGAAAATTTTCTGCCGGCAAAAATGTGTTAATTATAACACGATTGCGATTAACTCTATAACAGCTTGCAGTTATTCACAGGCAAATTGCATACGAAAACAGAATTTCCTTCGGCTTGATAATGGAGCCCATATATTATGTATTTGCACAAGCGTACATAAATCGCGCTAAGCTTTTGCAACCGATTATTAGCCGCAATGAAAATTTTAGTGACTTTTCCCCGTTAACTATATTTAATGAATACCTTTCGATGTTTACTTTTCACAGTAATGATCAAATATTTTGATCGAAAATCTCTTTAATATAATCTGTGAATCGAGAGAGTAGAATAATAATACCGTTCTGATTTTAGATACCAATTTAATGTTATTGTTGAATTTAGGTTAAAGTTGTGCCACTGTTGTTTCAGGAAGCGGAAAGTGCCATCGGTGCCATGAACGGACAATGGCTGGGTAGCAGAAGTATTCGAACGAATTGGGCGACCCGTAAACCTCCTGCACCAAAATCCGAAGGTGAGCACTCAATTTCGTTCGTTTCCTCGAGAATTTTCTTGTACACGACAATGATGCATGGTTGTTGATATAATAAACTGACAACACAATGGGGCAGGGGAAATAAAAAGAAGTTTAATTAAGGGATATCCAGTCAAAAGGCATTGTTTCCCATTGACTCTTGAAAATGAAACGAAGGCTAGCCGACTAATTAATTAGTGTTTAAGTAAGAGTATGTATAAAAAGACGATGCTAAATTTCCATCCTAGACACCACGTTCCAAGTCTAGAGATAATTCAAAATTTATCTTCCTAAATAATATTAATTATTATCTTCGAACGTTTCGTGAGATGGCTCAGAATTTATTATAGGCGATAAGTAAAAAAAGAATCATAGACAAGATGCACGATGAAGGGAGGGGGGAGAAGGCAAACAAACACGAATTAGAAGAGACCGTCCCGTCGCAAAAGTGTTATATTTATTTCGCGGATGGTTGATGGTCCGACGCGAATACGAAACTGACGGTCGAAATTAAATATCGTGCTCGCCATTCGCGAACGCGGAATTTTCCCCGACACAACCGGAATTCGATTAGGTAGACGAAATTCTACGGCTCACAAATGGATGCGCACGATCGCGTTACTCAAGCGAGTTCGAAAAGTCCGCCTCTTTTACGGCACTCGCCCGACTCGTCCAGCACAGAAAGCTTTCACCGCGCCATTCAGAAAAGCTCGAAACGGTTTTACCACGAACGGTTGCCCCGCAAAGCGCCGCGCTCCAAAGGCGACGCTCAGCCGTTCGAGTGTTTGTTAATCGATACCTCGAGGTAGATTTCGAGAATCTTTTTCCTTTCGCGAAACGACTCCCAGGGTTATTACGGTCCCGGAAATACTCTACAGTCGTCAATCCGCCGATGGCATAACCGTGTTTACAGTCTGTTTAACAAGACCGTGCGAGCAATGATTCTCAAACAGTTCGAGATAAATTAATAAAATCACATTCGATTATTTTGTTTACCCTCCTAACACGGTGCATTCTTATAGACTGTTTTATGGGAAATTTTAATTCACAACAAACTACAGAATACATTTGATATGCAGAAATATAAGAAATGCTTGAGACAATCCTCTACGAAACTGTAAAACGCGTTTTTTTTATGTTCTCTTTGGTATTTTTTTTATAAAGAAACTATGCAACTTCTTGCATCAGCATTTCGCATATATATTTATTACTTTTTCAGTAATATTCACAAATTTTTACAACGAGAAATGAAAAAAATTCTTAATTAGGATACATTTTTCAATAGTCGGTACTGAAAGGACAGAACAAAATTGATAATGAGAAAAATGGTAGCATTTTGAAGTTGAAATATCGATTTTTGTCTTGTTTTTAACTTTAACAGGCTAAAAAAAAAAAATAAAAAGAATAATGATTTTGACTTAAAATCGATCAAATAGATCTTGAGATATCATGGAAGCCTATTCAGAAAAGATAGTTTTGAGAACAATACATTTAAATAGAAAGATCAAACCGTTTAAACAGGTATAGCTCTTTTGCACATATATTTCTAATGGTATATCCTTTAAGACAATGCAAAAAAAAGAAATCGAATTTTTTGACGGTTTACAGTAGATGACCCCCTTAATTCCATAAATAAAAACATGAATTTGCGTAAAGATCTGCAGTCTACTTATCAGAATATATCAAATTATTTTTAAACTCCTTAGAGTCTTTTTTCGAAGATTTTAATTTTATGCAACTCTGCACATTTCCGTTTGGATTGGGAAGTCCAGTTGATTTGCCCGGCTACTGTTTGCTGTCCGCGAGTTTACGTCCACGTTGGAGCCTGTTTAGCCCATGCGGAAGGCAATAAAATTATTCGACGAATAAAACGGATGAATGCGAACGCACGCCGCGGATCAATGGCGGAACGAAAGGAGACTGTATAAAAATAAGTTCGACCGACGGCACGATGCAACGCTGTCCACGCAAACGAGCGGAAACATATATAAAAAAAGAGGACGTAACACGCTATAATAAAACGCCGCGCGTCTACACTCAATACGACCTACTCATTCACGGTCTTTTATTGTGTCTTATTGTATTCGCTTAGGCGAATGGTCCGGTGGCCATCGTTTACTTTTACGGGGACTATTAACGAGACTCGATTACATGCTTTGGTGTGCAGAGACGTTTTTTTCGCGATCTAATAACGCGACCTGAATAACTTGCACGTTCTACATACCGTACCGGGGACGAAACATTGACAATTTTAACCCGAATAGTATTTTTGTTTCAATGACAATGGGTCTTTATCTAACGTGTTGACTCCCCTTTGTATACGTTTGAAAAGAAAACACGCAAAACTATTTAACCCTTTGCACTCCACTGGCGACGCTATGGCGACAAACATACCTAATACCTACCATGGCTCGATTCAAGTTTCATTTATGATAACACAAATTGAGTTTAGGAAATACAGGAATCAAATTTAAATTGTAGATATTTATACTGTTTTGTGAAAAGAAGAATATTTTTCGTCCATATTAATAAAGACTCTCAGAGTGCAAAGGGTAAAAGATGGATTAATAACAAATTATTAGTTATTAGTGTCTGTAACCAAACCACTCTTGACCACTGTGCAACCTGTTATTTCTAATAATTTGATTTAATAACGCGACGTTCTACGTACAGTACGGAAACATTGCAATTTTAACCCAAATAGCATTTTTGTTTCAATAACAATGGTTCGTTATTCAACAAGTCGATTCTCCTTTATATATGTTTGAAAAGAAAACATGGAAAACTTGGATGAAATTTAAATTTTCAAAAAACTACTACCACAGTAAGATACAAATTATTGTATTTAGGGGTTGAAACAACCCTTTACAAAGATCCTATTTTATTAATTCTAATAATAAAAATATAAATTTGCAGTCCTAGTTATTAGCGTCTGTAACCAAACCTCTGCAAACCATTGTGCAACCTGTTATTTATAACCGATTTACTTTCGTTTAAAGTAGAAACTATTTACACAGTAATAATACCCGAGGAAATGTTTAAATCTGTAGTAGAATCGCCGGGATTGACCTCTCCAAGCGATTACTTCTACGGATCCTTATCATCCCTGGAAGAAAAAAAAAAAAATGTAGGCCATGAAGTGATTTATACATTCCTCGTCTAATCGTCATTAGCTCCATAATTAGCACTGTTAAAGGCTAGAGACCGGCGAAAGTATAAAGCCCTAAGTCGGTAGGGATAGTAAGAATCCAATTGAAGTTATGAACTAAACGCATAATGAGCTTGGAGGTAGCACTCCGAGACCCAAGTAAGTATTATTATATTATCATAAGCGGCTCTTCGTCGTCGACCCAGAGACTCCATCGTCCAGTCTCGCAGTCACCTCCGACCCCTCGACTAACTAATTTCATTCCGCAAGTCTTTAATTAGTATTCGTCACGGAGCGTCCAAACTTTTTCACTAGAGGTGGGCTTGCAGACTTATCCTACCGGGACCGTTCACCCGTATTTGCATAGGCCAAATTCGCGGAGAACACTTTCTTCCCGGCCACCTTAACAACCTTTAATATTACCCGCCTCGAGTTCTTCTAAATTTCACATAAAAAATATGAAAAATATGATTATTCGTTAATGAAATTTCGCTGGTGCACGCCTGTGCATTCCTTTGTTTCGCGGACCGATATTACTTATACATGCAAACCGAATTAATGCGAAACTAAAAGAAAGGAAATGAAGAGTGATTACTAATCTGATAGGATCACTTTACTTCTATAGTGTTGTTTTTTTATTTTTCGTAAGCAAAATGCATTTTTCATCGATTCGTCTGTACAGCGAATTTGGCCATAAAAAATATAAAATTCATCCGTTCACACCATTACAATATTTTTAATAGTTTGACAGTCTCTACTTTAAGGGCGGATTTCATCCCTTCAACATGGTCGATAAAAAAAAAATAAGGGTCAAATATTTTTGGTCCCTCAGCCAGTGTGTCTCATCCAAGTTAGCGATTGACATTTGGTACGTTTCTTAATATTAGGACCAAACGATAAATTGGACTTCTTGTGCAAACTTTCATAATTATTATATTCGAATAAAATAAGAAATTTATTCAAGGTTTCTTTACATTTGCAAATAAATATGTTTGAGAACGTTGTGGAGCCTCTTAAGACGTTCGTCTTCAATGGGTAGCGGTTCGCGAGCAATTTACTATTTACCCGAGCCTATTCGTGACGGTTTCCAGGCCCGATGCTCGTTATACTGTAACAATAAGAACACTCGAGACAGCAAATAGTCTCGATATAATGCGTGCGTTCAAATAGCGTACTCAAACGCCGAGGTGAGCGGTTTTAATGAAACTGGCGCTCCGCTGGACAATACTAAATTACGTCTTCGTGGCTTGTCCGGAAGAATGACACATTTTTCTAAAGCACGGCTCGAGAAAAGGAGAATGTAAACGGAGAACGTGTCCGTTCAAATGGAAGATATTTCGCGATACGCTATCGCCATTGAACACGATTGTTTGTTCGCTTTCTGTAAATAAGGAACGCACGCGGGAACATTCACAAACCTCCGAATACGAATCCCGTTTCGCGCCGTACGAAAACATTTTTTACAGATCGGAATATACGTGGAATAATAAACTCGCATCCCTTGTTTTGCGTCTCTGACGTTTTCAATACGCCCCCGGATCGAATCGATTTGATTTTACATTGATAAAATAATCTTCTGTTTACACGACCCTTTACAAATTTCGAATAATCAGTTTAATCGTTTAACAATAATAATTTCTCGAGTGATTCAATTGCAATACTACGCAACTCTGCCAATCGATGGACGAAGTATTAGAGAAACTCGTCAACTAATTTCTACGCGGTGTAATTTAACGAGTTTCGTTGAAACACGAGGAAAAATGGAATGGAATCGAGTGGTTTCGTCGCAAAGAATTCACGGTGGCCGTAGACGGGCAAAGAAAAAGCGAGGAAAGTCGAAGACAGCGCAGTT